TCCTAATTAAGCCTGCCGGGGTGAATGAGAGGACATGCTCAGCACCCCGAGACCATTGGATGCCCCTATATGTCCATTATCTGATAGCAGGGCTTAGGTTTCCCCTTCCAGAATTACTGGTTGGGCTATTATTAGATTACAGCATAGGAATAACCCAATTAACCCCAAATGCCATAAGGGTAATAATAGGCTTTTTTGTATATTGCAGAGTTCGGGGGGTGGGAGTCCCTACATTAAACATGTTCAAACATTTTTTTATAATAAAGGCTGGGGGTAGGGGGGAGAAGGGGTGGTACTACTTCGGTCCTTGGTCGTCCAGTAAAGGGAATAGGAGTTTATTCTCTGCTGGACCATCATCCATCAAAGGGTGGAAAGAAAAATTCTTCTTTGTGGATGACACCGAGTGGAGTAGGAGGGATGCCGAAGTGGAACAGTTGTCTGCTTGGAAAGCGAAGAAAACCAAGCAGAACAACTATAAGTTGAATGAGGATGAGGTGGAGGAGGTGGAGAAGCTGGTGAGGGAAGATGGAGACGTAGTGGATATCTTGTACCTCACCAGTCTAAAGGTAATAGAGGCTGCTGAGCTCTATGGGCCAAGCTCATTGAGCGAAGGTTTGTGTATGTTTATAGTGTGCAATTTTGATGAGATTTTAACTGGTGTGTTCTAATATTGATGTTTGTTTTGCAGTTGAGATGGACGAGTTCGTTAATGTGGCTGGGGGCCTGCACATCCCAAAGAGGCCAAGGAAGAAGTCAAAGACTTCAACTGCGGCGGAAAAGGGGGTGGCAGAGAGGGGGCGATTGTCCAGCACTTCTGCCCGGGCTGTGGAGGTGCAGCCAAGGCTGGAGCTTGTGATGGGGGGTAGCGAGGATGTAAGTGAGGAGGTGGCACCTCTCTAGAGGAAGAAGAGGAGGGTGGTAGAGCCAGAAGCCAGGGGGGACGAGGTGTTGGAGTTCGTGCCCCGGCCTTCTCCTCCAGAAATCAATCTTGAAGATAGGGAGAGGGAAGAGGTCGAGGTGCGAGGCCTTGGTGGGGGCAAGGAGCGCATCCCTCCTCACGCGTACTAGAAGAGTTTGTTTGAGGCGACAAACATGACTAGGGTGAAGCACTTCCTCAACTCTACTCTCCCTGAGGTGGATAGGATGCAGGCGAAGGACGAGGTGGTTAGCCATGTGGGGTATACCGTTGTGAGGCATGCCCTAGAGGTATGCGAAATAGTTGGAATTTACTCCGGTTGTATGTTTGAGTTTTTTGATCTCTGTATTTGATGTCTGACTTCTGATTGCATTGTAGAGTGCGAGTTGGACAAACGCTCTAGCACAGGAGTATGTAGAGAGCGTGAGAGATCGTGCCAACTTGCAGAGGCAGTGCGAGCAGCTGCAAAAGGAGAAGGATGAGCTGCAGAAGTAAAAGGGGGAATGGGAGAAGGAGAAGAGGGAGATGCAGAGGAGGTTGGATGAAGTTCTCCCTTCAGTGACCGAGCTCTAGAACGAGAATGATGTCCTGAGCACGAAGCTTGTCCTCGAAGAACGGAAGAGGAAGATCTGTGAGGAGAAGCTCGAGGCTCAGGACAAATACATTGACAACATGAGGAAAGGAGCAGTGGAGTTGAAGAAGAACGTGAACCTGCTGGTTCACAATGGGATGGAGGAGCACATTGGCAACTTCCTCAACTCCAGCACCTTCGAGAACATCCTCAAACTCTACCGGCTGCCAATTGTAATCGTGGTCTTCACCGACTGTAGAAAGAAGGTGAAGGCCCAATACCCAGAGGTGGACGTGACAACAGTCACCTTTGGGGAACAAGAAGAAGGGGTGGAGGAAGATGGGGAGAGCCTCTGTGCTGACTTTCGACCTCAGGTCACGCTGAGGTGGGAGCGTGATGCAGAGGGGCTCACTATTTTTCCTCCAACCTTTGAGGCTGAGTTGGTGGCAGTGGGGGAGGAAGAAGAAGAAGAAGAAGCACAAGGCACTGGGGTTGAGGATCA